CTGATCATTGTCGTGGGATTTAAACTTGATTTATGTGTTTTAGACCAAAAGAGTGAAAAGAAAAGAAAATTGAAAAACAGCTTGGATTGAAAAAGTTTTAGAAAAAGAAAGAAAAATGTTTGTTATTTTGAAAAAGGTGAGATGGAAAAGGCTACCTTTGAGATTTTTCCGAAGCTACCTTGACTCAAAACAAATGGAAATAAGGGAAAGAGCTGGTTGCCATAAGCGTGAAAGCCACCAATGTGCAAAATGAAAAATGAAGCACAAAGAGAGAAAAAAAAAATGTCTTTTGCACATGTTGATTGTTTGATTTATAAGGATATGTGATATCATTGATTTATTATCTAAAATCTGAACAATTGGCAGATCATATGTTTTTGGAACTTGGTGGTGATTTTACTACACTTACTAAGTTTGTGGAACTGAAAAGTATTGATCTTGGTTATTTTTGTTAAAACATATAATCATGTGGAGTCTACATTCTCATTGGTTTCAATTTACAAGATTTATATGGTTGGTTGCTTCCTACTTCTAGGATATGTGTTCCTTGAGACCCTTGTTAATTTGTGAAAAAAGGGAGAGAAAATTTAGAATCTTATCATTAGAAATTTTAATCAATGCATTGTAAATGCAATGCAATGCACGTTGATTTTCCGGCATTAAAATTTGTTATTTTATGCTTGTGTTTATTTTATTGATTAAGCTTCATGGGTAGTTGTGGTTGAGCTAATGTGCAGATTACAGGTTGCTACATATGTTGAAACTTCTTGAGGTTCAAGAAAATTTTCGCGTTTTATTTCCTTTAACAATCATTGTAATTTACTTTCCTGCTTAGGTAGATTGCTGAATTGTTTTAGGATTTTGTCACAAAATTGCCAAAGGGGGAGATTATGAGATATATATTTTATAATTGGCTAATTTCGTTGTCAAAACAAGTCCGATCAAGTTGTAATTTTTCGGTTCACAATTTTAAAGATTGAAGATCGGATGCGGATTTGAAGAAATTCAAGTGTTCATGATATACTACACTCTGAGATGATAAGAACAATACTTTAGGAAGTTGGAGATGTAATGAGAACACCTTGGGAGAGTTTTGGGGGTTTTTGAGGAAGATTTTACATTCTGTCCATTTTGAATTGGTCCCAAAATTCTGAATTGGTCCCAAAATTCTGAATTGGTTCAAATTAGCAGAATTGAAAAAAATCAAGATTGGCCATCTTGAGTAAGAGAAAACCTTTGAAATTATTTCTAGCAATCTTGAACCGATTCCCAAATTCCTGAACCGGTTCAAGAAGTCCTGACAGCAGATGGATTTAGTTTCCTTCTTCTGATTGTTTTCTTTTTGATCCCAACTTCCTTCCAAGTCCTATGCATGAAATTTTTCATATTTTCTAAGGTATTAGGACTTTCTATACTCTATATAAACCTTGTTAGTCTTCCAAGTTTATTCATGGCTTTAGGGAAAATCAATTTTATATTTTGAGAAAGCCTTTTAGAGAGAGAAAATTCAAAAAATCAAATCTGATTGTTCTGAATTTATTTATGAGAGCATACACATATATTCATGAGTGATTTAGTAGTGTTGTTCTCTATCTCATTGGAATTGGAGCTATATTAAAGATTCAGATAATTCTAAATGAAGAGCAGGATTTAATTCTTCTACATCGAGTTCAGATCTTGAAGAACAGAAGTAAAAGCGATCACACTTTGAAAGGGTTGGAGCATTCGAGGAATGTTGTCTGATCTACCTGTTACTCTTCTACAAATATCAAGCATAAGTCTGAGGTCAAGTTACTGTTGGACGGGGAGTCGCAAAGCCATAGGATTGTCAGCAACTGGTGTTTGGTAGAACGATATAGGGTGTAAGCCAGAGTCAAAGTTCGTGTACTTTGTTTTAAACATAGTGGATCAGTTTGCTTTGGACTGAATAGTCCACGAGGTTTTTCCCATGCAAACAGTTGACTTATTTTATCAACTAGGGTTTCCTCACTAAAAATCCTGGTGCAATCTCTCTAAACTTAACTTGCTTTACTTTTCAGTATTTATATTTATGATTATGAATGTTTAATAGATCATACAATTTAATCAATCATAAATTGAGCAAGTTGACCTAATAATCAGATCTAGGTCATTAAAGGAGTTAATCACAATTAAAATCAACTAACTGTTTCCGCACCCCGCGTAATTCTATTTTCACATAAACAATACATCAGATCGGGAAATACCAGAAAGGAAAATTGGAATGTGAAACAAAGTATCCAAAATGGGAAAGAAAGGGAGAAAAGTGATCAAGCATTAATGATACTGCAATCGTCAACTATATCAACCCTATTTGAACAACATTCTATAACACCAATTCCTGATATCTTATATTAACCAAATATTTTTTATGTGCATATCTTACTAATTTCTTGAACATGAAGAGCTTCTCAAAAGGTAATAGTGCATACCCTCAGAGCCGTTTTTCTTAGAGAGGACGAACATATATAAGCTTTTATGTGCTTGTATATAATCATATCCAATGGAATCTTCAAATCATGATAATTGGCCAGCCATGGATGACCTGAACATGAAAATCAGTGTGCAAACATTAGAACTCTAGAACATTACTCTCTCACGCACACATATACAAACTCACACACATTGTATTATATATACATCATCATGGAAGGATCATGCAAGTCCATCAGTATTTTTAGTTTACACCATTTAGAAAAGCATTTTTCACATCCATTTGAAACAAGTTAAATTTAAAGTGACATGCAAGAACAAAAATAAGTTGAATAGACTCAAGTCTAGTAACAGGTGCAAAAGTCTCATCAAAATTAATTCCTTCAACTTGAGTGTATCCTTGTGCAATTAATCTAGCTTTATTTCTCATCACAAGACCATGTTCATCAAGATCCATTTGGTCCCTATGATATTAGTATCACTAGTTCGAGGCAGTAATTCCCAAACATCATTCTTCACAAATTGAAGCAATTCTTTTTGCATAGCCATAAGCCAATCAGAACTTTGAAGAGCTTCATTAACATTCTTAGGTTCAAACTGAGCCATGTGACATGAATGTCCTATGTCATCTACAATGCATGAGTGTTCTAAATGATCACGGACTATACTCTTAGTACCCGGTGGTGGTCGTCGGGACCAAAGCTTGTAAAAGTGGAGATGTTGGACTAAGATGAGTGTGACCAAGTTTTACATTTATAATTTGCTACTACTACCTTTCACTAAAAATATAGTTAGGGCGAGTCGGGATCATCCCAAGGGATTGGTGGGTCGTATTAGGTTGTGGAATCAAGATTAGGGTTAGTAGGTCGAGTGATCAAAAGATTGGTTGGTGATTGAATTATACTAAGATGCAATTTAAACTAAAGTAAACAATTAAATGTAATGGAGAGAAAATAAGAGAGAGAGATCTTGGGATTTAGAGATCACCACTAAGCATAGATTTTCTACACCCTTAATGAGTGATTAATGAGGGGGAAAACATGTATTGCAACATTAGTGTGTGTGTGTGGTTGTTTCAACAAGAATGGATGACTAATTAAGTATATATTGTCTAAGCAACATGGTGGATAGCACAATATATCAAACTAAGCCATTAATCCTTTCTTTAAGCTCACAATCTAAACACATCACAAGGTTAGAGACATATGCTACTTGTTTTCATAAGTATGGAACATCAAACAACAAGCATGGATTGTCCTCCCATTTAACATCTAAACTACAACTACACTACAATTAAGATAATGACATGAAATTAAACTAATTAAACTAAGGGAGAGACACAATCCATCAAAAAATGAGTATGAACCATCAAATAAACCACAAGAGCATTCTATTAAGCACTATGTCTTGATAATCTCTAGATCTATAGCATCAACACACATAGACATGCATCAATAACACAAGAAATAGAGATAAACACATAAACATCTATTTTAGCATATATAGACATATGAATAGAATGAAATGATCAATTGGAAGCATTAAACCACACAAATCATTGAATAAACAAGATCTATATATATAAAAGTGTCAAAACATATATCACAATATAAATCCCCTAAAAAAATACATAAATCAAGATGTAAAAAGCATGCTTAGGGCTAACTCTAGCCCCAAGAGGATGTCTAGCCACTCATGGATGGTGTCTTCCAACCCTCAAGGGCTAACTCCATGGTAGAGATTGCTCCTCTTCTTGGTTGATGGAAGAACTCCAAGCTTGTGTCTCTAGCCTCCTCTCTTCTTTTCTTCCTTATTAAGAATATGATATGGAAATTATGTCTCTAGTGTATGTATGAGTCTATATCAAGAATGGCTCATATTCCTCGTACACCAATATTCCCCCCAATGATTGGATATGAGACAACTTTTAATGAGCTGGAAATTGAATTTTCTTGCACTTGGGAAAGTTCAATCGATCGAACTTGTGGTGAGATCGATCGAACATGGCTGAGATCTATCGAATTTAAGCTGGATCGATCCTCTATGGCGGCGCCTTTTTGGATAAAGACAAATCTGAGATATTTTGGGGAACGAGACAAAAGTGGTAGGTAGGGTGGTACAACTGAAGAAAGTTGGATCGATCTGAAGAAAGTTAGATCGATCAAACTTTGTGGGATCTTTGGATAAGGACAAAAGAGCTTGGATCCATCTTGAAATGTCTAGATCGATGAACTTTCGATTGATCGAATATTTCCTGAGATCGATCAAACTTGTTGAATTTCCACCACTTGCTTCCTTTTGCTCTTACTTTGCTCCTTTCTTTGATTTATCTCAAGATTGCTTCAATTATGCTCTTATTTAGCTGAGTTAGCTTATTTTGGGGATAAGTACCTGAAAATGGAAATAATACAAAATCAATCTAAAGCAGGAAAATAAGATAGATAAAGGTTCTAGAATACCTAAGCTTAAGGGGTTTAAATGTGTACTTTTCAGCGCTCATCACCTGGCTTATCCCATGGGCCTATCACATTGTCAACTGGATGACTCCATCAAACTCTAGAATTGCTAGATGTGGGAATATCTAAGGATGGTGCAGGAATTCCTATAGGTTCATCAGTGGTAACCTCTAATTCCTCATCCTCATCTTCTTTAACCTCTTCACCTTCTCCATCTAAATTCTCAACTCTTTCTTCCTTATGAATTGTAGGTTCTTTCCTTTCTCCTGCAATTTCAAAATTAGTTTTTTCTTCATCAAGTTGAGAAGAGGTTATCTTAGATTTAGTATCATCAAATACAACATTCATAGACTCCATGACCACTTCGGTTCTAAGATTAAAAACCCTATAGGCCCGGCTTGTTTGTGAATAATCCAAAAACACACCTTCATCACTTCTAGAGTCAAATTTTCCTAAGTGTTCCCTATCTCTAAGGATATAACATTCACTTCCAAAGACTCTAAAGTATTTAACAGTGGGCTTTCTATCATACCACAATTCATATGAAGTCTTTTTAGTTCCAAGCCTAAGATAAACTCTATTTAGGATATGACAAGCGGTACGTACTGATTCAGCCCAAAAGTGACTGGCAATGTTATTCTCATGAAGCATAGTATGTGCCATACCTGCAATTGTCCTATTTTTCCTTTCCACTACTTCATTCTGTTGTGGTGTTTAAGGTGCTGAAAATTCATGCTTAATGCCATACTTATCACATTATTCAATAAATTCCTTAGGTTCGAATTCACCTCCATTGTTACTCCTAATCTGATTAATTCGATATCCCTACTCATTTTGAATAAGTTGGCAAATAGATCTGAAATTCACAAAAGTATCAAAATTTTCTTTCAAATATGCAACAAAAATAAATCTAGAAAAATCATCAACCATAACAAGCATATATCTTTTTCCTCCAATGCTATCAGGTGTTATGCAACTCATCAAATCCATATGAATCAATTCTAAAGGTCGAGAAGTGACTTTATAAATATGTCTCTTATGTGACACTCTAGTTTGTTTTCCTAATTGACATGTACCACACATTTCATTCTTAGACATCTTCAATTTAGGCAAACCTTGAACAAGATCATTGTTAGATCAATTTACTAAATCATTAAAATTCACATGTCCAAGTCTTTTATGCCACAAAACTGCCTCATCAGTAACTGCAGAAAAACACATTAGTGAGGGATCTGAAAACACAACATAGCAATTATTAGCAGTTCTAGTTCCTTTCAAGATACATTCACCTTTTTCATTAGTTACAAAACACCCTTGTTGAGTAAAATTGACTTGAAACTCTTCATTACAGATTTGACTAATACTCAATAGATTAACAGTTAAACCTTTAACATATAGAACATTCTTTAACTCCTCAATATTTGAAAATTTGATCTTACTTTTACCACTTTCAGTAGCAGCATTACCATCACCAAAAGTAACAGTACCAACTGAGCATTCCTTAAAAGTGGTAAACAATGTTCTATCCCCTGTCATATGCCTAGAGCAACCACTATCAAAGTACCAACCACATGGACCAAGTTCTCTAAGTGCTGTGTGCATGGCAAGGTATTTAAAATTCTTTTTCTTTACCCAAACAATTTTAGATTCATTATGTAATGATTTTCTTATTGTTTTAGACAAAGTGTCACAAGGCTCAGAAATCCTAATCCTTTTCTTCTTCAAATTTGAAATCTCTAGATTTTTCAATTTCTTTCCTACTTCAATTTTTCTTTTCTGACGCTTATACTTGATATGCCCCTTTTCACCACAGAAATGACATGTTGAAATAAGTTTGGTAGAACTAGAAATAACACAAGGTTTGGTTTCAACTTTCACAAAATCTTTAGATTTTTTAAATACAAATCCTTTGAAGTTGATGCTAAATCTTTGTTATGCCTAATATTCTCAACCACTCCTTTCAACTTATCAATTTTGCAAGTGTCAATATCAACTTTCTGAAAAGACTGTTTTGATTTAACAAATTCACTATATAAATTATCAATTTTAAGTTCTAGTGATTTATTAAACAAATTTACCTTCTTAAGCTCCTTTACCAGAAAATCAATTTTATGAAGAAGATTCAAATTCTTATGGCTAATTCTTCCAAATTCTTATTAGAGACAGAAAATTCTAACTTATAAATATCTCTATCAAGTTCTGCAAGATTCAATTTCTCTAACAGATTTTCAAAATCCTTTTTAAACTTTGACCACTCAATTTGCATGCTTGTGACAGAATCAACAACAGGAGGTAAAGGCAACACATCAACAGATGAATTTTCAGACATGATGCAAAAATCAATAATAAATCAACAAATATGATCTACTCTGTATATTGAGTAACCTGCTCTGATACCAAATGGTGAAAATAGAGTTACGTGGGGTGCGAAAATAATTAGTTGATTTTAATTGTGATTAACTCCTTTAATGACCTAGATCTGATTATTAGGTCAACTTGTTCAATTTATGATTGATTAAATTATATGATCTATTAAACATCCATAATTATAAATATAAATACTGAAAAGTAAAGCAAGTTAAGTTTAGAGAGATTGAACCAGGATTTTTAGCGAGGAAAAACCAGTTGATAAAATACGTCAACTGTTTGCATGGGAAAAATCTCGTGGATTATTCAGTCCAAAGTAAACCGATCCACTATATTTGAAACAAAGTACACCGAACTTTGACTCTGGCTTACACCCTATATTGTTCTACCAAACACCAATTGCTGACAATCCTTTGGCTTTGCGACTCCCCGTCCAACAGGAACTTGACCTCAGGCTTATGCTTGTTATTTGTAGAAGAGTAGTAGGTAGATCAGACAATACTCCTCGAATGCTCCAACCCTTTCAAAGTGTGATCGCTTTTACTTCTGTTCTTCAAGATTTAAACTCGATGTAGAAGAATTAAATCCTGCTCTTCATTCAGAATCTCTGAATCTTCAATATAGCTCCAATTCCGATGAGATAGAGAACCATATTACTAAATCACTCATGAATATACGTGTATCCTCTCATAAATAAATTCAGAACAATCAGATTTGATTTTCTGAATTTTCTTTATCTCTAAAAGGCATTCTCAAAATATAGAATTGATTTTCCCTAAATGTAATGACCCTGTCATTTTCTTCCTTTTCCCTTTTTCCTAAAATTTTGCGGATAAATTTTTTCCGTTGTCTTTTCTTTTTTGTGGATGGTTTTTCATCGCTTAGTGTCATCTTGAGTGCTCAGAATTGGTTTATGAGACTCTTTCATGTGAATTGACAACTTCCTTTGAGAACCGAGTCATTTTCGCATTTTTCGTTTTTGGACACTATGCGCTATTTCGTCTTTTCCCTATTATGTCATTTTCCCTATTTCGTCTTATCTCCATTTGTCAGTTTTTGGCACAACCTCACTTCTTGTACTCGGAGTTGGTTTTTGACTTCACGTATCCTTATCGTGAGTGGTTTCCACGAAATACGTATCTTTACTTTTGCAAGAAAGTACTCTGGTTGCTCCCGATGCCCATAGGGGCATGGATGCATAAATCTTTGGAATTAATTTCATTTCTTGGGGTGTTTTTCATAAATATATTATGAAGATATTTTATTTCAGGGGCATCTAAGAAAATATCTTTTGGAAGATATTTTCATTTTGGGGCAGTTTCGTAGTTAACCCTTTTTGTAGGGGTCATTGTGCAATTAACGAAAGTTATTACAAAATGTCTCGTCTGGAGCCTGGATCCTCATACGGGATTCATTTTCACTTTTTGTTGACTTGTAAATTCATAGAATTCCGTTCTGGTCATTTTTCTCCAGTTTCAGAGTTTCTGGACCTGATTGCCGCCGAACTTGTTTGGTGCATAACTCTCTGCTCAGGATTCAGTTTTTGACGCCATTTATTTTGTTGTTTATATTTTCTCATTTTGAATCTTTTTCATTTATGGAGTTTTGCCGTTTGAGCGCGTTTGCTCAAAATCCACTTTTCCGGACCCGGCGGGGCCCTTTCGGGGCACTTTTTATGATTTACTATAAATAGGTGCCTTAAAGAAGAAAAATCAGATTTTCTTCTTCCTCCTCCTCTCCTTGCACGAACAAAGGCAGCCATGGATTCCCATGGAGCTGCCATCTTCTCTCTCCTCCTTTAACCTACTTTTCCTAAGTGAAAATCCTTCGGCCTTTGCATTTGTTGCTCGCCTCGTCGTGCTCTACCATTACCCCTTATTAGAAACCATTTCTGACCAAATCTTGAGTTTGGGATTTAGGCCAAGTTTGGATTTTCATGGGGCTTCTTAGAGATTCATATAGATCGTGTTGTCCCCGACAAAATCTAGGAGTTTCGTCAGATTCGGAGTCGTTTCGTTTTAATTGCTTTTGAGATTTTCATCTCAAATTTAGGTAGGGGGTGTCTTAGGATTATATTTATGTTGTATTGATTGTTATATGAGCATATACAATTTGTGAGCATGTTTTGTTTAAGATTTAGAATTTAATTTAATTAATTTCTATATTTGAGATTTAATTCATATGGCTTTGTGTATAACATGGAATAAAATTGTGGCATGCTATGAAATTAAATTTTAGTATGTTGATTAACATATATTAAATTTGGGGCATTTGAATAAGAATTACAAAATTTATTTAATATTTATCTTTTGTGAAAGTTTAATTCACATGGCGATAACAAACATGAAATCATGATGTAATGTGATATTTGGATAGGCCTTGGTATGTTCTCTAATATAGATTAAATTGAGGGCATTTGGAATTGTTTAAAAATCTAGAGGAAATTAATTAATTAGGTTGATTAATTTTATTTTAAGTGTTTTAGTCCCTTAACTTGTCATTTGATGATATATATGTGATGACCATGACATGTCCTTCAAAATATATTAAATTGAGGTTATTTGGGATTAACTTGGGATTTAGAGAATTTAACTATTTATGTTTAATTAAATTCTATTTTATTACTCCATGGATTTAATTGCATTTTGGAAGTTGTTTTTATATTTAAATCATGGATTTGGATTTGGTGTATGTTCACTTGATAACTTTTGAGCATTGGATAACATAGTTGTTACTTTTATATTCATGAGAATATGTTTTTCTTTATTGAATATATTGTTGCTATGTGTAAGGAATTGCATACTTTGTATTTGACATCTTTCATGCCATAGTAGTTGTAGACTTTGAGCATGTATTGTATAAGTTTCCAAAATTGGATTGTGCTTGGTAAAATTTTGATATCTTGTATATACATGTTGATATATATATATATATGTTGTTGCACAATTTGTTGATTTTGGAAACTTGGGGATGTCGTTGTTTGGCTACGGCTAGGACTTGGCTCTAGTACGGGGGATTGTCCCTCTATATAGTCTAGTGCGCACATAGGGAGGTTACCAATGGGCTAGTAACCCTAAAGTAACTATGTTGTCGGTCTGATCCGGCGTGACGTTCGAGTATCCACTTTGTTTGATTTCGTATTTCATTTCAAGTTGATAACTAGATAATATCGTAACTTATTGTTCTTTGTTTGATTTCCCATTTTAAGTTGCAAGATGTTAACTTTGAGAAATCATGGTTTAAGCGTTGTATTGGAAGTTCCAATGTTGGTTAAATTGCATCGATATCATAATTTGTGTTTTGATGTTCAAATGTAGTTTAGGAATGATCCTATAGATTCACTTTGAACATAGACGTTAGGTGGCATGACTCACTTTTGTTGTTTTCGTATCTTGGATTTTAAGTTGAAGACTTTGAGAATCTATATCTTGTTACTTTGTATAACATGTTTCCATGTTGTTTGAATTGCCTGAAAAATGTGATTATGCTAGAAATGTTTTAAGGTAGCTCAGGATGATCCCTGAGTCTCACTTGACATAGATGTTAGGTGGCATGAGCCCCTTTAACATGTTTCACCCTAAGGTGATAAAACTGTAAAACGCTAGGTCGATGCATGCTCATCTCCTACGAGTAACTTTACGTTACTCACCCTTATGTTACTCACCCTTACGTTACTGGGGTATATTTCAGGTACATGACTCAAGACTTGAAGATTTCATTGCCTTGGATCATTGGGTAGCTTTATGTATCAAACTTGTATTCTTTGATTCTACGTATGTAAAGTGTACATAAGTACACTCCTTTTAATGCATTTGACATGTAGGACATGAGGCTAAGGGCCAAGCAAGTTTATATTTGCACTTGTATTCAATTGGTGCCATATTTTGCTTGAAAATGTATTTTTATCAACTATGGAGGCTTTGTATGCTAAAACTTGTTAATGGAATGTAAAGAGGCTTTAGGCCATGTTGGTACATCTATTTTATCATATTGCATGCACTTCCATACCCACTTTGGCAAACAACACCATCCTTGATGAAACAAAAACTCTAAGTAGCATTTTTAGGGAGTTTTACCCCATTCTGTTCCTGGGGCATTTCGGGTATTTTAAAATGCATTTTTTTCATTTTTCTTAGAAATTCACGTAGAAAACTCAATTTTGAGGGGGGTTTCTTCTTTGTGTTTTTTCAGAAAATGCCATCTTGACCCTCAAAAATCCATATCTGTCCGTAAAA